TACACTTGGCACAATGCAGTCAGACAAGTACCGTTCTCCTGGCAACCGCCAAACCCAGACCCGTCCATCAGATTGCCAGATGGAGAAGCGCGATTCGTCACTCCAGAGAACGCGTCTCCACTGCTCTAGAGTCCAGTGGCGGCGTGCTTTACACCACCGCATCCGACGCTTTGCATTGCACTTGGTGATGTATGGCTTGGATGCAGCTGCTCGACCATGGAAACCCATTCCATGAAGCTCTCTGCGCACTGTTCTTGAGCTAATCTGAAGGCCACATGAAGTTTGGAGGTCTGTAGTGATTGACTCTGCAGAAAGTTGGCGACCTCTTCGCACTATGCGCGTCAGCATCCGCTGACCCCGCTCCGTCAGTTTACGTGGCCTACCACTTCGTGGCTGAGTTGCTGTCGTTCCCAAACACTTCCATTTTCTTATAATACAGCTGACAGTTGACTGTGGAATATTTAGGAGCGAGGAAATTTCACGACTGGATTTGTTGCACAGGTGGCATCCTATCACAGTTCCACGCTGGAATTCACTGAGCTCCTGAGAGCGACCCATTCTTTCACAAATGTTTGTAAAAACAGTCTGCATGCCTAGGTGCTTGAATTTATACACCTGTGGCCATGGAAGTGATTGGAACACCTGATTCCAATAATTTGGATGGGTGAGCAAATACTTTTGGCAATATAGTGTATGTAAAGCACTTTGTTCAACTATTTATTTTTAAATGTGCTTTATAAATGAACTGGATAAGATTAGAATGGTCTACTCTACCATAACTGATCCAAAAATATGTAAATATGTCTTAAGATAAGTGTGTTTACCCTTAATTTGATTAGGTATATAAAATGATCTGCCAATGGAATTAGTATATATTAGTATATATTTTATATATTTAATATGAGATAATTAGATGTTATGCACTTGATAATGGAGTTTTTTTCTTATTTTAAATGTGAATTGCATTATTCCACTGGCAAATTGTCTCACTTACCTCCCAAAACAAGAGAAAATACACTCGTTTCATATTTTGCAGTATGCTGGTAACGTTACAAAAGGTGTGAATACTTTTTCTCACCTCTGTAATATCTGGCATGAGTCCTGAAAAAAAAAGCTTCACTTCCTTGCAAAGTGCAAACTCAGCCCAAACGTCTAACACATCCCCTCCCAAAAACTGTGATTAATAGCAATCTGGGGAGAGGCAACCACAAAACGGCAAAGATTATGTGGAATGAAAAAAAACAGGCAAAATACAGACGTCAAGGAGCACTCTGACTGACTTTTAGGAGTTGTGGGAGGCTCGGATCCCAGGTTGCATTACACTGAGAGCGGATTCATTGCAGGCTAATCTAAACATTACATAATAGCTCTTCAGACTAGTTTAAAGGCAGATAGGAGTGTTTACACAGATGCAGCAACGTAATCTGCAATAGAGGTTGACTCCGATGTGACTGCGTGTTAAATCATTTAAAAAGAGGAATGAGATATTTCTAAAAGAACTTAGAATATAACTACTTCAAAAAGAAAAATGAAAAAAGCCCGTCTGGTCATTTGATTAGTACATTTAAGAACGTCTGAATAGCTCATAACTGCCAGTGCACTTTGGAGGAAAGGGCACTCGGTGGTCTGACTGTAAATATCTGTCCCTTGCGACAAAGTAAAACAATGCTTCTTGCTGCATGAGGAAGAATTTAGAGGGAAACTTCATACTGGACTTCATTGTGTTCCAGATCCTGGCATTGTGGGACGTTGATGTTTGCTCTACCCACAACACAAACCGACTATGCCGCTTTTGTTTTCGTTAGAGCAAAAGTCAGCTCCGAGGAGTGCCGTTCGGATCCCTAGAGAACAGACGGGAGCTCTCAAATAACAACCTTTGGCGGGAAAAAAGACTAACAGTATGAAAAAACGCACCACAGCGTTTATTTATGTTCAGGGCTTTTCTTAGAAATCTTTCTGGTAACTATTCCTGTGCTGCTGAACTAAAATATTACTGTGACATTTTATGAAACTGACATCCTTCAGTTTAGGTTTGCTTTGCATCATATTCATAGCTATATTCACTTTTTCTTTATCAAAACATGGATCTGGATGTAAGAAGATGCTAAATAAAAAAAAAAGAAAACCCTACTGCTTTCTAAAGACGTGATGCTTCCTCAACTCGCTCAACGTTCGGCCATCCATGAAAGAAACAACCACCATCTCCACAAATGATGTGCCGTAAAGTGTTCTCTCTAACTTCTGGAAGCAGCAAATTCATTGCAGATGTTGCTGGATGAGGCATGATGAAACCTAACTGTGGTACTGCCCTGACTCTTCTTTTCCCTGAAGTTGATAATAATCTGGATTTCTAGAGGTTTATGAAAGGAATAGTTCAAACTCTGTTCTGCTAAATCAAAATATTGGGTAGTTGAGCTTTTAGACGCTGGTTTTTAGGCTAAATCCTGTCGGTCCATCAAAGTCCTTTAATACTTATTGAAAATGTGGCTGTTTTACCGTCTTATCTGTAGACGTTTTACAATCTAAAAATTGCAGCTTTTCACCTTTCATTTTTCAACCAAATATAGACGTCATTTGGGGCGTAAATCTTGTAGTCTTTTCAACCAATTTTTGTTTCGGTGGGTATGTAGATACATTTTACAGATTTTGCTCTGAGCATTTGTTGAGTCACACACTTAAAACCACACACACTGGGAAAAGGATCTAAAAATAAGTAGAAATGTCTTAAATTAAGTGTATTTACGCTTAATTTGAGTAGGTACATGAGATAGTTTGCCAATGGAATGAGTATTTTTGCTCTTAAAATAAGAAAATTTGATAAAATGCACCTGAAATAAGACAATGCAATTGTGTTTTCTTATTGTAAGTGTAAATTGTCTTGTTCCATTGGCAAAATCTCTCTTTTACCTTCTAAATCCAAGAACAAATACACTTATTTTAAGAAAAAACAACTTATCTAGATTTCGATTTTTTTCCAGTGCACCAACTTGGTGTTCGTTGTAAATAACTGAAGATTTTTCTGTAAATGATCATAATCCGTCTGCAGAGTCAACGGCAGAATGCAAACTAATGTTTAGAGTCTCCACTTGCTCATCCAGGGGCAGCAAATCCTGCAAAGTCAATGACTGGATGCAATAAGCTGCTTTTTCTTAGATGATTTTTAACCGAATAGACTTGATGATCTGATTGTATCTGCTAATTGTCATGAGATCGCATGTGTAGTGAATTGGAGTTATAGAAATAAACAGATTTAAGGGACAACAAAAACTCCTCAGAGTCTGCTGGTCTGCTGGATGTAAGCAACATTTTTATTGGTCTGCTGGATGTTGGCAACATTTTTATTGGTCTATTGGATGTTTGCAACATTTCTATTGGTCAGCTAGGTGTTAGCAACATTTGTATTGGTCAGCTGGGTGTTAGCAACATTTTTATTGGTCTGCTGGATGTTAGCAACATTTCTATTGGTCAGCTGGGTGTTAGCAACATTTCTATTGGTCAGCTGGATGTTAGCAACATTTTTATTGGTCTGCTGGATGTTAGCAACATTTCTATTGGTCAGCTGGGTGTTAGCAACATTTCTATTGGTCAGCTGGATGTTAGCAACATTTTTATTGGTCTGCTGGATGTTAGCAACATTTCTATTGGTCAGCTGGATGTTAGCAACATTTCTATTGCTCTGCTGGGTGTTAGCAACATTTTTATTGGTCTGCTGGATGTTAGCAACATTTCTATTGGTCAGCTGGATGTTAGCAACATTTCTATTGGTCAGCTGGGTGTTAGCAACATTTCTATTGGTCAGCTGGGTGTTAGCAACATTTCTATTGCTCTGCTGGATGTTAGCAACATTTCTATTGGTCAGCTGGATGTTAGCAACATTTCTATTGGTCAGCTGGATGTTAGCAACATTTCTATTGGTCTGCTGGATGTTAGCAACATTTCTATTGGTCTGCTGGATGTTAGCAACATTTCTATTGGTCAGCTGGATGTTAGCAACATTTCTATTGGTCTGCTGGATGTTAGCAACATTTCTATTGGTCTGCTGGATGTAAGCAACATTTCTATTGGTCAGCTGGATGTAAGCAACATTTCTATTGGTCAGCTGGATGTAAGCAACATTTTTATTGGTCTATTGGATGTTAGCAACATTTTTAATGGTCTGCTGGATGTTAGCAACATTTCTATTGGTCTGATGGATGTTAGCAACATTTCTATTGGTCTGCTGGATGTTAGCACCATTTCTATTGGTCAGCTGGGTGTTAGCAACATTTCTATTGGTCTATTGGATGTTAGCAACATTTCTATTGGTCAGCTGGGTGTTAGCAACATTTCTATTGGTCTATTGGATGTTAGCAACATTTCTATTGGTCAGCTGGGTGTTAGCAACATTTCTATTGGTCATCTGGGTGTTAGCAACATTTCGATTGGTCTGCTGGATGTTAGCAACATTTCTATTTGTCTGCTGGATGTAAGCAAATTTTTGTATTGGTCTATTGGATATTAGCAACATTTCTATTGGTCAGCTGTGTGTAAGCAACATTTTTATTGGTCTATTGGATGTTAGCAACATTTCTATTGGTCTGCTGGATCTTAGCAACATTTCTAGAATGCAATTCGTAAAAACTGAAAAGCTGTTATAGATTCTGCCTGTAGTTTAGCATATAACATGGCCAATTTAACAGGACAGCTATAGATTTAGAAGACAGAGCTGAGATGATTTAGTCCATATACATAATAGGCAAAGAAGCACCCTGTATCACACACTGGAAACCAGCTTAAAAACTGTGTGGGTGCATTATTTGTAAAACCTTTAAATTAAAAGACAACCAAGTCAATTGAGACAGTTTCAATGTCAATATTTTTTCTTGAATGTCAAGAATGGATAAAAAGGGAAAAAAATATATTTGAGTCTGGACCGTTGTGCAATAATAATAAAATAATCAAAAGCAGGATGTGTAATAATTGGTTTTACATGGTTTCTATGATTTTTAGAGCAAACTCACCTGCAGACGTCAGGCAGCATAATGCCAGAAGCATCGAAGGGATGCCGGATCTTTGGGCCATCTTTTCTGTTTTTTCCTGCAGCCTCCAGTAGGATGTAGGTGGGTGAGCTGCACAGCTTTCTCTCTGTTTCACGAAGATTTTCCTCCTGTAAATAGGTCTACAGGAAGTCACCTTCAAGCTCCAGCTGCAAAGTGAACAAAATAAAAAAAAAAAAAAGGTGTCAAACAGGGAAAAAATTCAAACCTTAGAATGAACAAACAGCGGGGGGAACCAGGCATTGCTTTGTCTATGCGGCGGGAGCGCTGAGATGAGACAAGAGCAGCAACCGGTTTGCAGACTGAGGGATTAATTTGGGGGGTTAATTGGGGGTAACACACGCTTCAAAGGGCCATGCTGGAAACAACTCTGTTGCAGGTCAGAGTGTGTAAAAAGTGCAGGAGTCACTTAATTGGTGGGTGTTAAACTCTCTGCAATACACCACGGATTATAAACACACTTTAATTTACAGCGTCCGGAAACACAGCGACCTGCCAGTGGGGTCTTAAAGCAAGCAGCTCAGAACAACCACACAAATCAACACCGATTTCCCTGAAACTTTTACTTTCTTAAGTTAAACCTGAAACCATAGGACGAACATTCAGTGTTTCTGCACATATAAACAAATCAAACAAGTACTTATGATGCATTATAATACAGCAAACTACTTCAGTGGGCCACAGTAAGAACTGAAACTGAAAAACATTATGCAATAAACATAACATATCCAGTTATTCACCAACATTATAATAAACGCAGCTAAGCAAAAGTAAAGAGACAGAGAATTGCAGGTAAATTGAACATCACCGCGGTTTTTAGCTCATCATCCTGATGTCATGCAGCCCTTTTTAAAATAATGAGTATATGTTGGAATGCTTCCAAAGCAAAAATAATCTCAACGCATTTACTTTGCAATACCTGGTTCTGTTAAAAAATATTATATTTATCCCAGTTACGCAGAAATTCAGGCTGCTACACTTTTTTTTTTCATGAGTGACATCTGGGTCCCCTCCCACTAGGGGTCAAGCTCATTTCAGCACCTATGCTGGTTAAACTGAAAGTTTGAAATCTCTTTGTTAATACTATAAGTTGTTGATAACCTGAGAGTGTGAGTAAAGGAGACATGAACGTTCAGAACGCAGACAAACATCCATCCATCCATTATCTGACACGCTTGTCCCGAGTGGGGTCGCAAGGGGTGCTGGTGCCTATCGGGCGAGAGGCGGGGTACATCCTGGACAGGTCGCCAGGTCGCCTGGACAGGTCGCCATCGCAGGGCAACACAGAGACACACAGGACAAACAATCATTCACGCACTAAGGACAATTTAGAAAAGCCAATTAATGGCAACTACACAGTCCAATTAATTATTAAATTGGACTGTGGGAGGAAGCCGGAGTACCCGGAGAGAACTCACGCATCGAACCCAGAACCTTCTTGCTGCAAAGCAGGAGTGCTACCCACTGCGCCACTGAGCAGACAAACATTTCTGATCCAAATGTATCCAATTTAGGTCCACATATGGAAGTGGGACATCTCTGATTCATTTTGGAGGGGAAAAGGCTTCTACTGCCATCAAAAAGTCGGATACATGCGAGAGACAAAACGATCTGATTTGAGTCACACTTTCCTGCAGTTTTTCTTTTCTTTCAGTGTTCCTCTTCCAGTCTGGTTCGTTAGATTGCTGCAGTATTGCTGCGTAGGTCCAAAATACAGGGGTCGACCTCGGTCGGAGCTACGCAAACACAGTTGAACTGACCAGCCCCATACGTTCTAGGGATGGAACGGTTTATGAAAACCGTCCGAACCGTTCGGTTCGACTGTCTCGGTTCGGTTCGCGTGTGTTGCGTTCGGTTCATGCGCTGCTCCTTTTTCTCATAGGCGAAGCGATTACACTCCAGAGCAGAAGGTGGCGGTACTGCGACCAAAGCCAACCACCAGTAGTAAACAAGAAGAAGAAGAAGCGAAGCAGCGTAGCCGGGTGTAGCGGAAAAAATAAGTTGTTGTGGAGAATTGTGTGAACCAAACCGTGGATTTTGTGAACTGTTCCACCCCTAATTCAATTTCTCCTCAGATATGACTCTAAGGCTACCTTCATACAGCAGCTTGAAGTGACCTAAATCCGTTTTTTTTGTCCATATGCGACCTGGATCTGATCTTTTCATGACAGTTTGCCCAACACAGATCCGAGTTCTTCCAATGCGACCCAGGCCACTTGGCTATGTGGTCCTGAATCCGATACGAATCTGATCTTTTCTACTGCGTCCTGTGTCTGAACAGCCAGATCGCATTCATCCAACCTGTACGCCATTAATACCCGACAAAGGTCACTATTCTGCGTCTTGCTACACAGAAGTGGCAAGAAAAACGGCAACCATGGTGGATGACAATGCCGAGAGTAGTATTTATGTTTAACCATATTGAAAAGATTGCGATTTTAAGGTTGCGAAAGATCGCTAGATGCGCTCCAGCACTACCATCCATGTTTACGTCAGTAAACACAGAGCACACTGACTTGTGACATCATTACGTCCTCTAGTAGGCATGCAGGACACTTGCATTGTATTAATGCAGGTTACACAAGAGATAACATACAAGTCGCATAAATTTGGAAATGTAAACCGCAACGCAAAAAAATCGGATTTTACAAAAAAATCGGAATTGAGCGTTAAGGCCTGCAATGTAAACGTAGCCTTAATAGTGTCAGGCGTTCAGGCCTCATACCCACTTGTCCCTTCTTGTCCTTTAGGTGGCGTTAATAAACTTGTAGTGGGTTTATCGCACAGAGAAACAAAGAGAGAACTGCAGCTAACACTAAAATCCATGCATGTGATTAGAAGTAAGCATTTTTCCACCCAACAGTAACAGTTATGTTATGCAAAAAGGGAGTCTGGACAAGCACATTTTCACGATCATGAAAACACTGAAACCACGGAGTGAAACATCAACATGCTTGTGGTTGGTGGAGAGGAATATCCAACTAAAACCGCAATACTGGGTCAAAAAAATATCTAAATTTTAAAAGTTGTTCAGCCCTAAATCCTCTTTTTGCCTTTCCAATACATCCGAGGTCTAATACCATAAAAAATCGTAGCTTTTTAAAAAAAATTTTATGAATCTTAAAAATTCTAAAGCATCATGAAAACCTGTTTAGTTTTTCAAAATTTTTAAAGAGATCCTATAAGGACAGAAAGGCAGTCAGCATGTCTTTAAAATCGTTAAATACTCTTACCTTTTTTATGTTTTTTGCTCTCACAACCGAAAGCATTTCTTAACAAACGTGTTCCAGAGAGGAAGTCATACGAGAGATCCCTATTTCCTTCATGCAAACAGAACCGTATCTGTAACCACTGCGATGTAAAATCCTTGTGCACAAAACGCTGAAGCAGCAGTCACATTTGTTCACAGCTTAAAGGCTGTGTCTTTGACCAGAATGAAAGGCAGTGAAGAGGAGGCACATGTTCACATGTGTGCACAGCCGTGAACCATACAGTGTGCATGGGAAGTGATGCACTGAGTGGTTAGATGCATCACTTTGCAAAGCGAGCAGCGTTCACAGGACAAAAGGGCCTTTCACTGTGTGAAGTCGTTTTGGAAGATCTTGACAAATATTACACGTTTAACTCATCAGGGAGGATTACAGTCCTCTGTTTGATTTAGGCTCCTCCTCGACATTCACCTCCCCGCTAACTAAACAGAGTTCGACTGTGCTGCAATACCTTTTGGGAAGCAAAGACCAAATCAAAGGCAAATTACTTTCATGTTCTTCTCTTCTGCGGCATTTGAGATTAGAGACAAGCTGGCCCTGCTTTATACTGTTATATTCAAAGATTTACACAGGCTTCCTTTGTTGTTTTAACTCATTTGGAGAAAAATGTAGAGCTTTTACCACAAAAGCTTTTCACTAAGAAGCTGTTTCTTGTTTGGGGCCCATCTTTGCCTGAAGAAAATCTTGGAAGGAGCAGCAGAACATGGAGAGCCCTGAAGGAAGGTTCTCTGAAATCCAGCTACATACTTGTGGTGGTTTCTGCGTTAAAGCCCTGGCTTACATCTGTCATCATGACTGCTTTCTGTGCACTGTGTTGCTATAGTAACAAAGCACAGGCATATCTTCAGAAAGCTTCAACTGTGTGGGTTACATATTGCATTTGTACGACTACCATACTAATCAGAAACAAGCTTGTTTTTTGGCCGCCTGCGGCATATAACAACAATTCTTTCTGTTGCTCTTAAAGTCGTACAAAATGAGCTTTACATCTGTAAAGTCGTCTGTCGTCCGGCTAAATTCAGCAGGTTCTTAATGCCGATCAACTGATAGCGGTAAAGCCGGGCGATATTTTCAATTGTTGCACGCAGCTACAGCTCACTAGCCTGACGTAGTCCTACTCAATTCTAGTCAGAATGAGTCTGATGCTGCTCCATAGAGCTGTGATTATGGGGCGTGTTTCGAACGAACCAGGAAAAAAAATGCCTCTGCACTCAATTGGACAGACCTACAACCAATAAGAGCAACGGAGTGCGTGACGTATGTTAAGCGACGCATAGTTGTTGTCAACAAAAATCAAAGCGTGCAGTTGCACGCCTAGAATAAGAAGATGAGCCTTGATTGCGTTTCTCTGTTCCTCTATTAAAATTAATTTGCTGTCGATATCTTCTAGAACAGACCTAATAGCAGAATCTACTCACCTCAACTCTCCAGCGGCAGCCATTGTTGTTGTCACCCAAGCGCGCTTTGGTGACGTGGTTGATTACGTTACTGTTGACCATCTGTCCATCATCGTATAAAGCCCGCCCTGACAATTTGATTGGCCCGCCAGATATTGTGCTAGCATACTCGCGCTACTATTGAGCAATGCCAGACCGAACTTCCCGACCTGAAACGTGTGGGCGGGACTAAGTTCGGAATGGCACCCAGGCTAACAGCTCACACTGTACGACGAAACTGCAGGGTTTAAAAGTTCGCAGCTCACGATGTTTGTTCTCTGATGCGATCTACCTGCTCATACTGAACGTCTAAAAACCAGGTGGGACTCAGCTCCGCAGTGAGATAGCGCTACTGGGACTCATCTATATGGAAGCCAAATGAGCAGAAGAGTAATATGAAGCTCACTAATGTGAAATGCGCTGCCTTGGCAATTTGTGCAATTT